ACCTTTTTCTATCATTCTGACCATTTTGCAATAGAAATTCACCGAATATCAGAGAATGGTTGTCTTAAAGTCCGAAAAAATAGCAGGTAAAAACCATGAGTTGAACAAAATTTCGATCGGTTTCCTTTAATTTTCGCGAGATATCAATGCTCTGTGGGTTATAAGATATGTCTCGTGTGAACACGCTGTCTGTGAATATGTAAAGAGCCATTTTATCATCTCATTACTATATAAAAATTTTCAGCTAAACGCTGACCTGCGCAAATTGGCCACTAACATGGTACCTTTCCCTCGCTTGCACTTTTTCGTGCCGGGATTTGCTCCTCTCACCTCCCGCGGCAGTCAGCAATATCGTTCTCTGACAGTCCCGGAATTAACTCAACAAATGTTTGATGCCAAAAATATGATGGCCGCTTGTGATCCTCGCCATGGCCGCTATCTAACGGTTGCTGCCATTTTCCGCGGACGAATGGGCATGAAAGAGGTTACTTATTTATCTTTGAAACATAGCTTAGCTCTAGCCTAATCCAAACTTATATTTTGATTGCTAAGTAGTAAAGGCCTTGGAAATATATGCGTGAAAATATGTGATTTTGTTAAAAATTTCAGGTTGACGAGCAAATGCTGAACATTCAAAATAAGAACAGTTCCTATTTCGTGGAGTGGATTCCTAACAACGTGAAAACAGCAGTGTGTGACATTCCTCCGAGGGGAGTGAAAATGGCAGCCACATTTATTGGAAACACTACTGCTATTCAAGAACTATTTAAACGGATTTCTGAGCAATTTACGTGTAAGTGTTGCAATTAAATTATAAAATCTAAATTCTAAAGGCCAATTAAAAAGGTTTTTGGCTTTTATGAAAGAAGTTTAAAATGTTTAATATGAAATTCACAGAGTGATGCGTGTTTTATCGTAAGTTTTGCTTTAAAAAGTCACTCGGATGCCTATTCCATGTGTGTTAATATTATATATTCTGAAATTTCAGCCATGTTCCGACGAAAGGCCTTTTTGCATTGGTATACTGGCGAGGGAATGGATGAAATGGAGTTCACTGAAGCCGAGTCCAATATGAACGATTTGGTCAGCGAATACCAACAGTATCAGGATGCAACTGCTGGTTTGTACCTTTTCAAACAAATGTTTACAAAAAATTTTCTCATTAAATTAATATGCACAATTGCTATACTCGCCCTTATAGTAAGCAGGTGATGAACTTTAGTGCACAAAGAAAAGTAACTATCTACCTATAAATCAGAACATGGGCCCAGCAATTTTTAGCGAAAATCTGATTATAATGTAACATAACAAGTTAACTGTTTCAGATGATGAAGGTGAATTTGATGAGCACGAGCACGATATTGAATGACCATATCTTAATCTGTTTTGAGAAGGGAGTTTCCAAGTACAGCATAAAATTAATTTAATTAAATTACAATTTATACATCTCGTTTTCTATCACCGCTATTCATCTCTCGTGACTTGTGAAAAGGATTTAATATATCGAAGCGGATATCGTATTAAATATATCATTGTTGCTTTGTTTTCCAATGGAATAATATTTTTGCCATTACTTTCTGAAAGTTATAATTATATTGAATAAATTATTTCTCACGACATCCTGTAAAGATGGACAGATAAAGGAAAGTGATTAAGGAAAGTACCGGCTCCGAATTGTTGTGGCACTATTTAAATTTAGATCTAATTCCAAACTGGATGCCGGGTTTCTAAATATCAATACCGTATTACCTGTAATTAGCGCTCCCCTGGAGGGACATTGAAAAATTAACGCCCCGGGGCGTTAAATACAGGTAATACGGTATTTGTTCCCTCCAAATTGTTGATTCATGTGTAACTTCAGCAAATACGAAAGAGAAAGAACACGATCGTCATCATAACACTTTGCTTTTGCTGACGATTTCGGTGCCATACGACAAATAGATATTGTCATTAAATTATGCATTTCAAATGATTTTTATAATCGTTTAACAGTTTCACATTAATCCTTCGAACGCGCACTTATGTAAAATGAACTCTTCACGCGATCGCGATGAGTGTACTTTGATTACACAAAAGGCAACAAGTTCAAGAGTTTATCACACATCGAACATTGAAGCTTGATCGTCTAGTTTCTTCGGGTGACAGTACAGGAATGTGCCAGGAACGGTAACTTTTGTATTCATGTAATATGGATCGTATCGTCTCGAACAATAATCCGAATGTTGCTATATAAGGCTCGGTTTGAGTTCCATCAAATCATCTATTCCCAACCAATTCAAACTTTATTCACTCAAACTTCAGAATGTCCTACTCAACAATTGTGGCTATCTTGGCTGTGTCATTGGCATTGACTCAAGCAATACCGACCGCAGTGCCGATGGGATTACCACTAGCAAGTGGGATAATCGGACTTGTTCAATCTGGTGAGTCCTTTTAATTTTGGATATTGAGTTTTGATTGTCCACAAATTAGATTCTCATGTTACAAGAATTTAATTTAGTTCTGATAACATTGGTGCAAGCCCTGATCGCTGCTGTGGAGGCTCTGCTCACTGCCATTCCAGGATTAGCCGGTGAACTGGGATCTAATTTCACTGCCGGCACTGGTGCTGGAGGAAATGCCACTAACGCCACCAATGTTTCAAGTTTGTCCATTTAATGACTTTACATACTCTAAGTAGCTGTGATTTTATAGGACTGGTCTCCTTGATCCAAACTCTGCTCACGGCTATCCAATCCTTGTTGGCCATTCCTGGCATATCCGACAGTCTGTCACTCATCTCCATCGACTTGGGAAACGTCACCAGCTCGCTCGGAGGCACTCTCGGAAATGTGCTCGGAAGTATCCTGAGAGGTGGCGTTGGAGGCAATGGTAACGCTGGTTCTGGTGCGGGAGGAAATTTGGCTGGTGGAGCAAGTAAGTGTAAACGTAGCATTTACCTTTAGAAAATAATTTTTTTAAGACCTGGCGTCTCTGATCCAAACCCTCCTTGCAACTGTTAAGCAACTTTTGGGTGCTCCTCTCCTTAGCGGAATCGTGGCCAGCGTGACCAACATCACAAGTTCTCTTCCGATTGTGAATGGTGTCCCCGTCGTGAGTGGTCTCGACAATACTCTCGGAGATGTGGTGGGAACCGTTGGCGGCGTGGTCGGAGGCCTGCCAATTATTGGAGGACCTGGAAACCCCCTTGGTAGCATTGTCGCTGGCGGACGTTGAAAATAAGTATTATATCAGTGATAAAATAATTATTTGCATGAATTATATTAAAGATAACTATTTGATACAATTATTTATATTGCAACTTTTATATCTAATAAAGATACGAACGCAATAAAAATAGTTTTTGATTTATTGAAGTGATAGATAATAGATCAGACACACAGTATGCTCAGAATATGTGCCCAGCGCGGCTTCATAAGTGTATTTTTAGGTAAAATGGGTAAAATTTACCAAACCACAAATTTAAACAAATCGCCGGTAAATTATTTTGAGCCATGATAATGTGTAGAATTTTTTATTTTCATTATTACCCCTCTAGAGAGTTGTAAAGGCTATAGTTGGACATTTTCAGCTAGACCCCTACTATTCGGTAAGATATGTCCCCTAAAAACTGTTTTCTCTAAAAAATCTTAAAAATGACACTTTTGAAACCAAAGCATGTAAGGGGCTGACTTTTTTGCATCAGGGTTTTTCAAACTGATCACGAATCTGAACTCCGCTTCGGCCGGGCGCGCACTGCATGCGTGCGCTGGCAGCGTTTTCCCATTTTGGGCGCGAGTAATGTTCTAAGGTGGCAACCAACCGTGTATGCGCATGCAACGCTCTCCGGTGCCATTTTTCCGATTTTCGGGCGCGGCTAATGATCAAAGGACAATTTTGCGCGGGGTTCTCGAGTATATAGCCAATTATCAACGCTCACGCAGCGAGCGCCGGAGGAGGTTATGCCCGTAAACCATTTTCTAATTCCAAAAGACGGCAAGCTCTTTAACGCATTCGTTAAATAAAAAATTTATGGTTTTCATCGGCACACCTGGTTTCTATTATAATTTTGTTGATTTGAGCCTTTTCGAGAGATGTAAATAAACAATGTACCATAGAGAAGGATTAACGGATTATGCGCATTGAATAGTGATTGGTGTTTCATTTTTCTGTTATGGTGAGAAAATTTAACAAAAAAGAGGGATTTGGAGAGTGAAATAGCTCTTTTTTGAAATAGAAAGAATTTGTACAAAATCTATATAGGATATTTTTATTTCTGTTCTCTATGTATTCCGTTAGTTGTGGAAAAATATCTCAAAATCAATTTCTGTTAGACAGCCCTACAATTTATGTTGAGAAAATGATTTCTATCAGCACTTCTTTCATTCGCATCATTAGCGAGACTGGCTTGAATAACAATTTCATTAGGATCGACCTTTGGATTTGCATTATTTGTTGGTGAAAGAGACTAATGCTGTGCAATAGTTTTCTCATTTCTTGGCACTTCCCGAAGCTATGGCGGCATGATATCGACTGGGTCACTAAAAATTTTTGGACCAACAGCATACTTTGACATTATTTGTCTAATATTTTGTCCCAACTTATTTGATAAGCAAAAATTATTTACCCGTAAATTTTTATTTGCCATCAGTACTGGTTATTTTAAGCTAAGCTTTATTGTTTTTCGAAACTCTTCTTTGTGGTAAAGGTATTATGTTTGCCGTACATCCACTCAATTTATTATAAAAGTATTATATCCATTTACAAAAACCTAAAATAAAATTACGAAAAAAATTTCAAGCATAAAATGGAACTCCACTCAGTGTAGTAAAGCGATGTGTTACGAGATAGAGATATATTTTAACTTTTTTTATGTAGTATTTTACCAACATATGATCTTTCTTTTGCATATTTGATTTTTGATTTATTACAAACAAAACTCATCCGTTTCTTTCCTGTGAACAGTAAAAAAGACACACAGAGAGAAGGTATTTGAGCCATTTCAACGTGCTTCGCTATCGGCCCAAGTAGTATAGCGATTAGTACTCCACGTTGTGGCCGTGGCGACCCCTGTTTGACTCAGGGCTTGGGCAGTCATTTTTTTCTGGATTTCTTTGAGTGGGAAAATTTTTTAAACACACAGCTAAGATAAAAATTTCACAAACATAACTTCTTCTATCAAATTTCTGATGAAATTAAAAAAAATGAGTTGGCACGGATTTTTTATATCGTAGATGCCGTTATTAGCTTGGATTTATAATTTTCTAAACAATTTCACAAAATTGGCATTTTTCAATGTAATTTTCAGCTATTATTCAACCGCTGAGGTTATTATTATTACACTTTATTGACCGAATTGGCTCAATAGGAACCCCCTCATGGCCCAATGCACTAGTAGAGTGACTGTACCGATGTATATTGAGTAGCACAGTTCCACAAACAAGAAAAATTCTCGGCATTCGAAAAATAATCAAAGAATGTATTAAAATGTCGATTCTCTGTAAAGATACTACAATTTTCGCGTCTTATTACGCAGTTATATTTTTCCTCGGGGCACGTGCTTATGTTTTGTTTTCTCATATGTTCATCCCTAAATTAGTGCAATGAGAACGGGGATGGCCCTATTCATTTGTCATGCATAATTCGATTTTCTCGCTTTCTTATTAGCCGCCTTTAGCACCGCTGGACTCTCCGAGCCAAACCTCCCGACAAATGGTCTCATCCCGCGTGTCCATCATCTGGTCTTTTTGATATCCGGGCATATATCCTCGTATTTGACGTTTTAACAAAATAGATAAAGAGGCGTTTTATTGCAGACAGCCGTCTTTTGCAACTTTGCCAAAAACAAATTCGGCAACAAAGGAGATTTCCCGTTGGGTTCCGTTGGGAATTGATATGCGAGGTTTGCGGGGAAAGTGTTAAGATGCTCGCCATTTAATGCTGTCATTGTCTTTTTTAAGCGCCTGAGGAAAAAGGGTGTGGACGGAAGCCACCCAAATTGGGGCTGTTTGAATCTCGGCCAGTGCCTCAATAAAGCCCGATGTTCTTTTATAGGGCTAGGGATAGTGCGAATGATGCCCGCATTATAGAAGTTCTTTCGGAGCGGTCAGCCAAGCAAAGTGGAGCTAACTTTTGGGGCATAATCTTGAGCAGAAATCTAAGGCTTGCTTGTTCTCATCGGATCGCCATTCAGTCCAAAAATGGAGGATGTGCAAAATTGGATAGCGCCGGCCATTTTTCCACATGACTGGAATTGGATTTACTATTATATTATAAAAGAAGTGCTCCAGGATTATTTTGAAAACGCAGAATAGGATACTGTTCGTCAAAAATGTTTCGCTAATTATACGTGGAATATATATTTTCTATTTTTGTACATGAAACTGTCTCAGAGGTAGTTTCACTACATCACTACAATCTCGGGACTTAAAGAGTTTTTAACGATGTTAAAATTATATACCTCCAAGCGCTGTTGTACAATTTTTTCGTAAGGAGCTATCCGGAAATTCGTTGATCCAAATAATTTTTTACTCCCGTGATAATCGTATGTGCTAAGAAATGGTAGAAGGCGTAAGATGTGCCCTACATCATCTTTGTTTCAAAATCAATCCCTTACTCCGATTTAGAATCAGACTCTACGCAACTGTCCGCTGATTAAATGATTCAGATTTGTACGAAGCAATTTCTTATAATCTTTCGTTTTTTACCCTAGTTAGATACATAATGCCATATACAGTACATAGCATACTTATATCTTAACACAGGTATTAAATGTTACAGGATAAAAGGATGAAATATTTCGCAAAATTTGATCCATTTTATCCTAGCACTCTAGTCAACATCAGTCACCATAATTGTAGCAAACTTTCCATTACATTATTCGATTTTTCGGTGTTAAAGCAAAGTAAAAAATTTGAAAAAAATCCAAACTATGGTAAGTCAATTTCTGATACATTCATCCCGTTATAGCCATGACTATAAACAATTGATATTTGATTACGAAAAACTGATATGTCTTGTATGATTTTAATGTTACATGAATTTGACTTTCGACCTTTTTCATTATTATGCGATTCTGAAATTATCGCATATTTTTGCAATATTTGTACAAAATTTTCATAAATATCATTTAGATTCAATGCACGCATCGGAATGACAGAATATTTTTTAATTATATTTCTTATATGCGCCGCCGCTGCTTTCCAAATTCAACCCGAGAAGCTGACAGAACTCAAGCTAAGAGTATGTTCTCACAATCTCCAGCCAAGTCACGAAGAAACTATGATGGTGAGTCTTTTTATGTGTCCCCAATCCATGAAAGACAATGTTATCTTCAAAGCCCGTATGCTGAGGACTTTTTGGGCCTTAGCATTAGCTCTGTTTCGATCCTGGAGCTCAGGCCAAAGCTAAGGCTCAGGCTCTAAATATCTCAGCATAGGCCGCAACTAATGGGTACATTAAACTTGCAAATATAAAACAATTTTTTAGTTCTTCCCAAATGAGTTGCGATTCTGTCTGACGATGAAAACCAGCAAGACTCCCGATCAACTCAAAAGGGACAGCGAACGAACGACGTTTCTACAATCAACGGTTTCAACAACCTTGCATGAAATTGGCTCCCCTTATAGGTGCCAAATCAACTTCATGGTTTGTGTTATTCGATTTTAATGATTCATTCAGAAAGTAAAAATTGTGACTTCTGTATATCGTAAAATTTCAATACAAAGTTCATAGACTCGTTGTTTTAAGTCCAAGCCCAATTTTTGTCTAAAATCAATAACAATTTAAATTTGCTTTTAATTAGGGGTCGGCGAGTCCGAGTCCGAGTCTTTCCGAGTCCGAGTCCGGACTCGGACTCGGATTCGGACTCGGCAAAATGGGGTCCGAGTCCGACGGACTCGGACTCAGTTATTTTCGGCCGTGCCCATTGGGCGCGGCCGAGCGAAATTTTTGAACTTTTTTGAAGAATATATAAAATTTTCAATGTTTATTTTTTCAAACACCCCTATTTTTCTAAAAATTTTTGCCTGCGGCGCTCCTTTTCCTTCCATTTTTCATTATAAGTCGGCATTTTTCCCAAAATTTCGGTCTGCGGCGCTTTCATGGCTTGTTATTTGCCTTCATGATTTTCTGCTCACTTTCTTTTAATGTGGCGAAATGCGGCAAATCTGAGCAACAGGAAGCATTTTGAACTACATTCAACATTCGATAGAGTTACTAAGAAATCACTGATCAAACCTTCCCACACTAACCTTCAACATAATGGGTCTTGTCTATAGGGCGTAAAATGTATGGAAATGTCCTTCGATATAACGAATGCTGAAATTTTTCTTATAACGACAAAATTTTCTCCGCGCAATGTCGTCGCACGGAGAAAATTTACGGGGTACGGTAAAAGCCCCCCCCCCGGTAAAAGCCCCCCCCCCGGTAAAAGCCCCCCTAGGTAAAAGCCCCCCCCCGGTAAAAGCCCCCCCCATAATTTTCATAAAAGAGTTCTAAAGTGGTCAAAATTTTTTTTGAAAAATTCCGAGATTAATCCGAGATAAGTCTGAGATTAACGCGGATTTTGGTCGTGAAGTTTGAAAAGTGTTGGTGTTCTCACTATTTCTATAATTTTCTCTATTTCTGCACTCACTTTTTCTATAATGGTAAAATTTATAGCTCGCTTTCGCTGTTTCAGTGTTCCAATTGTCGGATTTTCAGACTCCCGAACAAGAATTTAGGCTTAAGCTCCCGAACAACCCTTATAAGGCGCCATACAAGACATTAGGCTTGGCCCCGCTGGGCACGCCCAATCGGACTTAATCTTAGGCTTAAGCTCCCGAACAACCCTTATAAGGCGCCATACAAGACATTAGGCCTGTTTACGTCCCTTATAAGGGCTGCGCGATTTTTGGTTGAAGCCAGTCGACATATTGGCTACGCTTGGATTTAGCTACCGCGCCAAAACTGCCCGAAACCGGTGTCAATCGTCTCCATTTGATGAGAGAAGTCCGAAAAACACAAAATTAGGGTGGAGAAATGCAACTAGAAGGTTTTATGCCCTGGGGCATTTTTCGAAATCCATGATACCCCTATGGTTCCAAAAAAAGCCTGAAAACGTCTAATTAGGGGTTTTCGACCATGCTGATCTCGAATCCGAAGTGCAGGCTTAGGCTTGGATATATGGCCTAATTTTGTCTAAAAATAATTTTTTGCATAAAAAACCATAGGGGGGACCCTATGGTATGAAAAATCATTTTTCTCAAAAAAATCTCTCAAAAAATCAATAGGGTCCCCCTATGGTTTTTTATGTGAATGCACAAAAAAATCAATAGGGGGATCCTATTGATTTTTGGGGGGCGCACTTCCATACAAGCGCCCGGAATTTTTCAAAAAAAATTTTGCCCACTTTAGAACCCTTTTATGAAAATTATGGGGGGGGCTTTTACCGGGGGCTTTTACTGTGGGGGGCTTTTACAGGGGGGGCTTTTACCGGGGGGGGCGGGCTTTTACCGTGCGCCAAATTTACAGAATTTTGTCCACAATCTTCAGTTTTTCATGAACTAAACAAATTTTACCGGAAAAATTCCAAGTTCGAAAAACAAAATATTTTTTAGTTGCAATGGCATCCATCTAGAACGCTTATTCAGGATCTGAATAGTCGATCTAGAACGGTTTTATTCATACTAAGAATTTTTGGAAAAAACAGGTAAAATTTGATTTTGCATGTAAAATTTCTATAAAAATCTAACAAATAGCTAAAAATAGACCAACTGGTCTAAATTATGCCTTTTTATAGCAAAAATACGAAATACTAGCTAAGAAACAGCAAAAACACAAGTTTTTGACAACAAAAAAATTGGCGGGAAAAATAAAATTCAAATGGACTCGGCGAGTCCGGACTCGGACTCGTCAACTGATATTGGAACCCTACCGAGTCCGAGTCCGGACTCGGAATCGCTCGGACTCGGACTCGGTGATAAATTCCGACCCCTACTTTTAATGCGCAAATTTCTCATCATTTAATTTCTTGATGAGCCCTAAGCTTTGAGTAATCTATACTTATACAGGGTTATGGAGGAGAATACCGACTAACTCCCGATCTCGGCTA